GACAACTACTTCCAATGACTGTTAATTTTTTTTTTTTTTTAAGATTTTATTTATTTATTTGACAGCAAGAGAGGGAACACAAGCAGGGGGAGTGGGAGAAGGAGAAGCAGGCCTCCCGCCCAGCAGGGAGCCCATGCAGGGCTCGATCCCAGGACCCCGGGATCATGACCTGAGCCAAAGGCAGAGGCTTAACCACTGAGCCACCCAGGCGCCCCCAGTGACTGTTAATTTGAGAATATTTTGTTTTTGTGTAATTGTGAGAAGATTTCAAAGTCCCATCCCAAATGTCTCTCACTTTGGGAAATTTAAAAAATTTAATCATATTTCCAATGTGGTAAAATATATATAGCATCAAAGTTTGCTATTTTTGACGATTTTTAAGTGTACAATTTGTGACATGTTTACAACCGCTTGTATTTTCTGGTGTATATTTATGGAAGATTTGTTATGTAAGTGGATAAAATTAATGTTATGAACTATTTCCTGAAGATTGTGTTGCTTTAAAATCTGAAAATGTGGCGTGCCTCGGTGGCTCAGTTGGTTAAGTGTCTGACTCTTGATTTCTGCTCAGGTCGTGATCACAGGGTTGTGAGATAAGAGTCCTGCTTGGACTTCACGCTCAGCAGGGAGTCTGCTTGGATTCTCTCTCTCCACCCCACCCCTCCCCACTGTGCTTATGTGTGCTCTCTTGCAAATAAATAAATAAATCTTTAAAAAAAAATCTGAAAATGTGACTTGTATATAAATTACTAATATTTGAAGCTATAATGACTAAATGAATTAAAGTAGAATTCACTGATGACTGAATGAATTCAAATAGAGGCCTGAGTCTGTTTTAACTCATAAAGGTAAAAACATGAAATGTGAAAAAAAGATGGGTTCTATTTACCATGCGACTCTGGGCAAGTCATTTGACCATGCTGGGAGTCAAAATGTTTGTGATCTGAGTTATTTTTTGCCCTTGAATGAGCGATAGCAAATAGCAGAAAGATTCAAATACCCTTTAAGAAGTACTTGATGAGGGCTCCAGTCTGCTTCTCCCTCTGACCCTCCCCCCTCTCGTGCTTTCTCTCACTCACTCACTCTCTCACACATAAAGAAAAAATCTTTCAAAAAAAAAAAAAAGTACTTGATGATATGAGTTGAAGTAGAAAAATTGTATTTACAGAGAACTTCCCAGGGATATGTCTGTCACATAAAAGCGAGTCCAGATAGTATTAATAATCTGATTTTTAAATTTTTTAATTTTTTTGTTTTAGAGAGAATGGGAGCAGGGAGGGGCAGAGGGAGATAGAGAAGCTGAAGTTGACTCCATACAGAGTGCAGAGCCCGACATGGGGCTCGATCTCAGGACCCTGAGCTCATGACCTGAGCCAAAACTGAGTTGGATGCTTAATTGACTGTGCCACCCAGATGCCCCCATAATTTGATTTTTTTTTAAGATTTTATTTTCAAAATTTCATTTTGTCATTTTAGGCATTAGCTAAAGAAGATATTGATGCAGCTATTCAATCAATATTATATAGAGAAAATTATGTAATTAAGGTAAGAATTGGCTACAGAATGTGTCACAATTAAAAATTAAATTTTGTTTATCCATTTTAGATGTAGTGCATCATCATTTACAAATTTTAGAAAATACAGGAAATAGAATTGAAAATGCTCATTAGCCCCTAGGATTAACCTTAAGCGATCTTTGAGATTGTTTTAATTGACTTCTCTTTTTCTACTTTGTGGGGATTGTTTCATAGATACTTATATGTAGGAGTTTTTCCCCACTTGTTCTTTCATCTAGTAGGGCTTCTGTGGAGTCAGTGTGTATTCTTTTTTTTTTTAAAGATTTTATTTGCGAGAGAGAGAATGAGAGACAGAGAGCATGAGAGGGAGGAGGGTCAGAGGGAGAAGCAGACTCCCTGCTGAGCAGGGAGCCCGGTGTGGGACTCGATCCCGGGACTCCAGGATCATGACCTGAGCCGAAGGCAGTCGCTTAACCAACTGAGCCACCCAGGCGCCTGTCAGTGTGTATTCTTAAGAGCTTTAAGGGCTGTTCCTGGAACACACTGACCAATTATTACTCAGGTATGCATAGGTAAGAAGAAGGCTTTAACTGTAACAGGATGGGCTTAATTATAAGACAAGATGAATGTCCATGTAGAATAAACACTGGAGTGGGTAACTTGTAAAGAAAAATTTTCTTCAGTGTTTAAAAAGGAAAGGGGCTATTCATTAAGAATGGTTGAAGAGTGCTATGACCTGAAGCTAGGGAGGGATAGAGCCTAGAGAAGCTGTCAGTGTTCTTCGTTTATTTATTTATTTTCATTTTGAATTTCATGTTGTTGATTGTGAAATCACATGATTTCATTTGCTAGATGAAAGGTGGATACGTTTTGGATAAGAAGTTTTAGTTTATAGCCTAAATCAGTCATTTTCTTTATGGGCTACTTGCCATTTCATCCAGATTGTGCTAGCTTCTGCCTCTTCACTCTTGTCTTTTTTTTTTTCTCCCTCCATAGAATATACTTCTTTCACATTCTCTCATCCCTTCTCTTCCTAGATAACTCTCTTAAAGCCTATCCCAAATGTCTCCCACTCTAGGAATTAAAAAGAAAAATTTAGTCATTTTTTTCCCATGTGGTAAAATATATATAACATAACTTTGCTATTTTTAACCACTTTTAAGTGTACAATTCAGTGACATTAATTACATTCACATGTTGTACAACCATCATCAATATTTCCAAATAGATGGATGTCATGAAATCATCATTATCTATTTCTATTTCTAAAACTTTTTCATCACCCCAGCCAAAACTTTATACACATTAAGTAATGACTTCCCATCCCCCCTGCCCCAGAGGTCCCTCTAGTAGCCTCTTGTTTATTTTCTGTCTCTGAATTTGCTTATTCTAGATAATTTCATATAAGTGGGATCCTACAATATTTGTCCTTTTGTGTCTGGCTTATTTCACTTAGCATATTATCTTCAAGATTCATCCATTTTGAAGTATGTGTCAGAACTTCATTCCATTTTATGGCTGTCTAATATTCCATTTTCTGTGTATACCACATTTTGTTGATGGACACTTGGGTTTTCACCTTTTGGTTACTGTGAATAATGGTTCTATGAACATTGATGTACAAGTATCTGAGTCTCTGTATTTTGTGTGTGTGTGTGTGTGTATTTTGCTATATTGTCCCTCTATTGTTTTGTATATTTGTTTTGTAGTCTGTCTCTCCAGGGAGAGTAGGCATGTTGTCTAATTTATCTATGTAGTATTCACTATTTCCAGTAGAGTGTGTGTCACCCAGTAGAAGCCAAATAAATGATTGAATTAATGATGACTTTGTGTGTTACTCTTAGGAATATAAATGAATTTAAATTTTAGAACAACAAAGCTTTAAAATAATTGCCTTTTCCATCAATGTTTATTAGGAACTAGATAAGTGTTTACAACATCATGACTTTTTAAAGGCAAGAAGAAAAGAGATGTTACATAAAAGATGGGCTGACCATGTGGCACATCCTCTCCAGAAGAAAATAATAGAAAAAGTTTGTTCATATAAGAAGATTAAAAAAAGGAGACAAGAAGAATTAGATAGTTTTTTAAAACATGTAAATAAAAAGGTACGAAGAGGTCATTTGATACTTGTTTCCGTTGGTTTAAAACTATGATTACCTTTATAATCATCCAAACAGCCTGCCTCTTCTGACTCTATAAATGTATAATCTCTACTCTGTTACAGTGTACGCTGTGTCCTAAATCCAGGGCATGTGGAAAGGATGGAGGGAAGAGGGTTAGGTCTGGATTTAAATGTGTACATTAGAATCCGTTTTCTTTGCTTTTTAAATGTAATTATTAATTTTATATACCAATTAAATTTGGGCTGTAGATTCAGGATATTTATATGTAGTTCTAGGACTCAGTTATTTACAATGCTATAAAATATTTGTTTTGGCATTTCTAAGAGATCTGAGATGTTTGACTAGTAAGCATTTAAAAACAAATTCCCAAATCTGTTAGTGTTCCAACATTCATTATTCTTGCAAATTTTAAGTAGATTCCTTCTGTCACTATAATAATTACTTGGCTACATTAAGTTTAATTTCAATTTTGGTCTTCCCTTCCCCTTTGCATTTGTTATTAATGCTGTTTTGAAGCAGAAGAATGGAACTGTGTGACTCTTGAATCCTGTTATCCTGTTATGCTCAAAATTAATTGTGTACCTTTTGTTATGTGTAGTTTTATTTCCTTCCTATAGGGAAATGCATTTATAGAACATTATGATCCAAAAGAGTATGATCCTTTTTATATGAGCAAAGAGGACCCAAATTTTCTGAAGGTAGGATAGATTTCTTATTTTTGGTATTATGTGGTTGGTTATTCTGAGTAGCCCTAATATATAAGTAGTTCTTTAGTGATTCCCTAAGAACGCAGTAACATCTTAAGAATAGTTTCCCATCTCCATATCTTAGAAAGGAATAAAAAAGCCAAAGTCCAAAGTAAATTAAACCTCTATAAAATTTGAAAATACTGTATAATAATTGAGTAATAGGTAATATTTAAAAATTTAATAGACTTAAAAATTTGTTACAAATGTAATACATTTTCATGATACATGAAAAAAAATTTTTTTGAGAGAGAGTTGGGGGAGGGGCGGGGGGGAGAGAGCGAGAGAATATCTTAATCAGGTTCCATGCCCAGCATGGAGCCCCACGCAGGGTTCAGTCTCCCGACCCTGAGATCATGCCCTGAACTGAAGTCGAGTTAGACGCTTAACCTACTGAGCTACCCAGGTGCCCCCCCAAATCTTTTTTTTTTTTTTTTAAGATTTTATTTATTTATTTGAGGGAGAGAGAGAAGGAGAGACAGAGAGCACAAGAGGGAGGAGGGCCAGAGGGAGAAGCAGACTCCCCACCGAGCAGGGAGCCCTATGAGGGACTCAGTCACGGGACTCCAGGATCATGACCTGAGCCGAAGGCAGTCACCCAACCAACTGAGCCATCCAGGCGCTCCCCCCCCCAAATCTATTTTTAAGTAAAGAATTAAAAAAACACTCACAGGGGCTCCTGGGTGGCTCAGTCGGTTAAGCGTCTGCCTTGGGCTCAGGTCATGATCTCAGGGTCCTGGGATGGAGCCCTGAGTGGGGCTCCCTGCTCAGTGGGGATTCTGCTTCTCCACTCCCTCTGCCTCCTTCCCCCTGCTCATGTTCTGTCTTTCTCTTGCTGTCAAATAAATAAATCTTAAAACCCTCACAATTTCATTACACAGAGTGAACTTAAATAACATTTTTCTGTATATTCTTCTGGATAGCCAAGACTTGCTTTCTGTATGTGGGTGTATATACACATTTTTATTTTACAAATTGGTGTAACACACATTGTTTTATAATCTGCATTTTTTCCTCAGTAGTTCTATGATTTGCTTCTTTCTTTGTCAATAAATGTAAATACATAATATTAATCA